AAACTTTCAGTGACCTAGACGAAAAGAGGAAAATCTCTAAAGGAACCCCAAACGAAGTTATCTTAAGAGCTACAGCAAAAGGAAAGAAATAATAAATTCCGCTCAGCATGTTAGAGTAACAGTCGAATCCACGAGTAGCCCACGAGTCGGTAATGGGTGGTGTTGACAGTAACAGTCAAATTTATGAGTAGCCCACGAGATGGCGATGGGTGGTGTTGACAGTAACAGTCGAATCCACGAGTAGCCCACGAGTCGGCGATGGGTGGTGTTGACAGTAACAGTCAAATCCATGAGTAGCCCACGAGATGGCGATGGGTGGTGTTGACAGTAACAGTCAAATTTATGAGTAGCCCACGAGTCGGCGATGGGTGGTGTTGACAATAACAGTCAAATCCATGAGTAGCCCACGAGATGGCGATGGGTGGTGTTGACAGTAACAGTCGAATCCACGAGTAGCCCACGAGTCGGCGATGGGTGGTGTTGACAGTAACAGTCAAATCCATGAGTAGCCCACGAGATGGCGGTGGGTGGTGTTGACAGTAACAGTCGAATCCACGAGTAGCCCACGAGTCGGCGATGGGTGGTGTTGACAGTAACAGTCGAATCCACGAGTAGCCCACGAGTCGGCGATGGGTGGTGTTGACAATAACAATCAAATCCATGAGTAGCCCACGAGATGGCGATGGGTGGTGTTGACAGTAACAGTCAAATCCAGGAGTTGGTCGTGGGTGGTATTGACAATATACATTCTTGCGTATCACTGCCACGACCAGCGCTAACAGTGAAACAGGGGGTGGGGGCTCCTGAAATGTTGTTGGCTCCTCCAAGCTACTGCTGCCCCTAAATCAGTTTTAGATTTATTTCAGATATCACCCAATTATATGTCTCATTGTCCCCTACCACCAGTTAAGAAAATCTGGAGCCGGGACTGATCACAGCAATGTCGTTTTGATTTGTTTTGATTTAAGTTTTTTGTTCACTCACCATTTTCATTGTTTAACTTTTTTTTATTTACTTAGGTATTCCGCTTTTAAGTTGGATACGTTTTTCAAAATTTAAGTTTATTTCAAATTACATTATTTCTTACATTTAGTAAGAAAATTAATTTTTTCCTACTAATTTCGACTGAGCACACAGCTACACAATGGGCTATTTGTATCGTACCCAACACTGTTATCGAAACCTGATTTTTTGCGTTAAAATTCCGCTAAGTGGATTAAAAAGTATAAACACGTAAACCAAGATTATACAGGTCAATTAATTTTCCCATATTGTAGATTCTTACTCACTTATGGCGAAAATACATTACATATATGTTTCATTAAATATGTTATCGTAGTATGATGATTGACACAAGGACTGAGTAATAATACTGTCTACCCACGTCCATATCAAATATACAATCAATAAAACTGAGAGGCGTGTCGAGTATACTGGTGTTCATATGAATTCATCGTAACTTAACTGACTTACAATACTCCAAGGTTCGATTATTCGCAGTTAATGGGGCGCAGATCACTAGGCTCGTTACGTAGCAGGAGTACACCGAGAAAACCCACTTTCACAGGACAAGCGCCGAATAGTTTACTTATTCTGTGCCCAGCTTGGCAATGCGAATCAAAGGGTCCAATAATGCATTCCATACTTTGGGGTTGTGAAGAATTATAAGAGTGGCAATCAAATCCCACTATTTAGAGAGATAAGAGTAGTCCAACAGTTGACGGTGGGTGCTGTTGACTAGCTTCCTTCCGTCTTGTCTATCAGTATCAGTTTAAACTTAGGGAATGTTTTACACGATGCTACAAAACAATCAAACTGATTTAAAAATCTGTAAGCTGACACTTAGAAACAAGAGGGAATACTTAATAGCCGAGGGTACTTGAAATTCTTTTAGTCAGGATTAGAGTAAACTAACTTACGAGACCTTAGGCGTGGTCAAATAGATCAGTCGAAATGGTTTGGCTTACTGAGTCCAAAACTGTAATTAGATCTCAAATCGGTCAAGAGATGACGTAGCTATGAGCTAAACGTTTGTACTGGAAAAAACAAACTCAGGGCCATTCTATGAACCGCTATACCGCGGATAAAAATAGAATTATCTACGAAAATGTCAACTTAGCCTTACTTTAAATAGGCCAGAATAAGTATTAACTACTAATTTCATGCTGTGATTAAGTTCCTAATAAAAGAAAGAAATAATGTACAGTACATATTTCTAGGATTACCTTTATGTCTCCTAATTATTATTGCAGCAGGTTTACGCACTAGAAAAACAAAACAAAATTGGCATATAGAACTTCTATACGAATCATTTGCTCATCATCTTACACAAAAACGCTATAGGGTTATCGAAACACTCAAGCTTGGAATAACACACTTCATTTTAGACAATAGGTCTAAATCACTCACACTGCAAAATATATACTTAAATATACTAGTATGTTAAATAT